GTGACGTTATCACAATCAGCGACGTTCTAACAATCAGTGACGTTATTACAATCAGTGACGTTATTACAAGCAGAGACGTTATTACAAACAGTGACGTTATTACAATCAGTGACGTTATGATATACATAGAGAATACTAAAAGATGTCCCGTGTAATACCATATTTATGAAACTCGCTCGTTAGATACCAAAACCATTCACGAGTTTCATAAATATAGTATTACACGGGACATAGTTTAGTATTTTATTTATTACTCACCCAACATTAGCAAAATAATATCAACCAAAGTACTATTGTGACAGACGTACATGTATTAGCATTGTGACGTCATAACTGTAAACCACTTTGGTGTCATACGTACCACATCACATGATGTGTAATAACATTGTAAAATTATAAAACAATGATATCTTCAACGGGTGAGTAATAAAGTTGTGTTATTGCACACAGTGACGTTATTTCAAACAGTGACGTTATTTCAAACAGTGACGTTATTACAAGCAGATACGTTATGATATACAGTGGTGTTATTGCACACAGTGACGTTATTGCAAACAGTGACGTCATTACTCGCAGTAACGTTTTTACATACGTCATGACTCACAGTGACGTTTCTACTTATACTGTTGTTGTTTACACAAAGTGGCGTTATTGCAGTTAGTAACGTCATGACTCACAGTGACGTTTCTACATATACTGTTGTTATTACACATAATGCCGTTATTACAAGTGACGTCATTACTCACAGTGACCTCATTACGCACTTCGACGTTGATATATACGGTGATGTTATTCAAAACAGAGACGTTATTGAATACACTGACGCGATTACACGTCGTTGGTTTAATTACAGACTCGTTTTACACACTGGGACATGTTTGAAAACAGTGGCGTCCTGTATAAAGTGAGGCTGCTACACACAGTGGTACATACACACTGTTACATACAGATGCACATTTACGTATGAATTGACTTCATTGTGCCACACAGTGGTTGTTCCTGCATATTTCTACTGGCGAGTGTCCTCTCTATCCAATGTACTTACTGAGAGGCGCTTCAACTGCGACGTGTCTTCCTCCAACACAGGCGACCACTAGCTGCAGAAACACACTCATGATTAACAAGGAAATGCATTTACTATTACTAAAACTTAGGACATGTTGAAGTTTCGGTGTCATGAGGCATACTGAGACTGTGAAATGTGCTGAGTTAAACTGAAACCATGCGGCTGAATTTTTTATAATTGAAACATTATCAATCGGGCACTCCCATCACAAAGGTCATATTGAGCACAAAGCTTGATATTATCACACAAACAGTACTTTGTAACAGCAGGTAGTATCGTCATACTCAACATTAATCGCGATATACCCGACCGAAAGGTAATGATGTAGCACGTGTCGTCACCATGTTTAGTATATAGCAGAAACAACACGATAACCTCCTAGCTGAAATATGGAGGTCAATCCAGTTCAACACGTGCAGCAGTTCACGGGTATAACTTTGTACAGGTATCTCAACACGTACAGTGTACAAACTGTACACCCACCAGAAGGCTGGGCAACAGGTTCAGGGTTGTCATTGTTGGACCTCTAAGGCTGGTCAAGAAGCGTCCAGAAAACAACTTCAGTCAGACTGACCGAAATACCGTCATGACCCACAGATCTTATCATGGACAGATTTCGAAGGCTGGGCTAAATATGCACTCTATAGGAATTCTTATGGGGTCACAACTGGATTGAACTTCTTCTCCGTTGTTTTTCGCTGGGTCTATTGTCGTCCCAGACAATGGATATTAACAGCATACGGTGATGTTGTTTTAGGCCGCACTCAGCAAAACATTCAGACTATAAGACCGCATGTGTTGGAAGTGTGAGTGAGTGAGTTTAGTTTTACGCCACATTCAGACTATAAGACCGCATGTGTTGGAAGTGTGAGTGAGTGAGTTTAGTTTTACGCCACATTCAGACTATAAGACCGCATGTGTTGGAAGTGTGAGTGAGTGAGTTTAGTTTTACGCCACATTCAGACTATAAGACCGCATGTGTTGGAAGTGTGAGTGAGTGAGTTTAGTTTTACGCCACATTCAGACTATAAGGCCGCATGTGTTGGAAGTGTGAGTGAGTGAGTTTAGTTTTACGCCATATTCAGACTATAAGGCCGCATGTGTTGGAAGTGTTAGTGAGTGAGTTTAGTTTTACGCCACATTCAGACTATAAGGCCGCATGTGTTGGAAGTGTGAGTGAGTGAGTTTAGTTTTACGCCACATTCAGACTATAAGACCGCATGTGTTGGAAGTGTGAGTGAGTGAGTTTAGTTTTACGCCACATTCAGCAATATTCAAGCTATATGGTGGCGGTCTGTAAATAATCGGGGTTTGGGGTTGGCTGCTGTTGCGTCGCGCATTCTTTGTTTCAGTCATTCAGTCATATGGCGACAAAACTGAAAATACGTATTTCTTCACAACGGTATTTTTGCAAATAGAAACGTCTGTGCAACAAATTCCAAAACGGCCAATTTGTCATACATACAGAAACTATTTGTGATAGAGACCTTTTGTTCTCGAGTAGTTCACAATGAGATGCCCGCTCATGCAGCCGAGATCTTCCAGATCTATTGGTTGATAATGGGAATCCCTTACACCTGAAAAGTCCACAGAATCAGAATATGTTTGATGATGACCATTTCATTGCAAGAGACACACTTAGTAGGTTCCTCTCCATCCGTTCTCAGCAGATAGTCATGAGTAAACCGAATGTGGCCAATACGACATCGTCGTAAATTACCTCATCACGTCTTGACTGAGAACCCAAGTAGGTATAACCAATTGTTGGTTTCAGAACGTATTTGTTTCTACTTGGGTGTCCCACCTTTTTGCATAAGATACCGAGTATAACTTTTGATAGTAGGTAATTAACGAGTATGTGCAGAGCGGGAATTGTGTGTGTGTGTTCAGGGGAGTGGGAAATATGTGTGTGTGTGTGTGTGTGTGTGTGTGTGTGTGTGTGTGTGTGTGTGTGTGTGTGTGTGTGTGTGTGTGTGTGTGTGTGTGTGTGTTTTCGGGGGAGTGGGGAGTGTGTGTTCGGGGGAGTGGGGAGTGTGTGTGTGTGTGTGTGTGTGTGTGTGTGTGTGTGTGTTCGGGGGAGCGGGGAGTGTGTGTATCCTGTGCTAGGGGACAAAGTGGAGACTGTTTTCGAAGTGGGGTGGGGTGCGTTAGAGTGAGGAGGAAATTATTAAGTGAACTGTATCACCCACTTCAGAACTGGAGGTTCCCGCGGCATCATGTGACATTCAGCAGGCTCTGACGGCTTGCAGGATCTACAAACATACTCGGCAGCAGCAGCAGGGGACACCTACCATGTACATAACCCCTACCATGATACATGTACATAACACCTACCATGATACATGTAAATAACACCTACCATGATACATGTACATAACACCTACCATGACACATGTACATAAACGACACAACATCCAAACCTGAAGTTCACATTTATATTTTCATATATTATTATTATCGCCGTCATGCATGACACGACGGGGGTTTATGTTCACACAGCATGGATGACTTTAATACAATCATAAAACACGAAGGTCGTGACTATTGACAACACACTGACGTCATGTTGCCTACTGATAACAAATGTTGCATAACAGGTGCACTTTTCTGGCCAGATATAACATTTCAATCACGTCCACTGGAACACAGACGATCGTGAGAACGACAATCAGCTCTATAAATATACATGATCTGCCAGTTATTATAACCTTACACTAGAAACCAACTGCCCCTTGTACACTAAAATACAATAACATCAGTGAGTGAGTGAGTTTTAGGTTTTCGCGCTTTTAGCAATATTCCAGCAATATCACGACGGGGGACACACATTGTGCCCATCGTCTTCAGCGTGACGAGCGAACGCTTTAACCACTAGGCTATCCCAACGCTTCTACGCTAGCATTAACTTACAAGCTAGAATGTTAGAACAATCAGATGACGTAAACTGTTTGAAAGTAATGCCACAATATTACGTCATTGAGCCAAACATATAACATGACGTAATCATTTTTATACTTTATGTGAGTGAGTGAGTGAGTGAGTATGGTCTTACGTCGCGTTTAGTAACATCTTAGCAATATCACATCGGGGCATACCAGAAATCAGCTTCACATATCGTACCTATGTTGGGAATCGAACAAGGGTCTTGGGGGGTGACGAGCGAACGCTATAACCCCTAGGCTACCACCCCACCGCGCTATTACATGTTAAAATATGGGATTTTTTTGACACGATATGTCATCTGGCCTACGCATATTGCAGATTATCGACGGACAAATATTCACAAATGTTATTTTTCCAACACTTGTGAGGATCTTGCTCTTCTCTAAACTAATCTCTTTCTGAACTAAGGTCATGTTTTCTGTATCCATAAGATAAACGTCAGTCTGCCCATCTTTTATTATACTGCATGTACATCTACAGATGGGCGTTTAACATATCAAATCATAACAACAGCACATCGTTGTTTTATCCCAACAGGGTCGTTCAAGTGATATAATTCTGATGTCTTGACAGGAGGATGTTTTGTCAGAGTAACAGGTATCAGAGCTGATTACAGGTGTGATGAGGTAACAAACACCAGGCGTGAATGTTAGACTTGATCACAGGTGTGATAACCATTATAACCAGGTATATGACAGAGAGTGTTACTGCTAGACCTAATTACAGGTGTGTTAACCACTCTGCAAGGTGTATAGGAGAGAGTTTACACAAAGGTGATAGCATCAATTCCAGGTATATGGATAAAGTTGATTACAGGTGTCAGCCATTGTGAAAGGAGTATAGGATTGAGTTGATTACAGGTGTGTTAACCACTCAGCCAGGTGTACAGGATAGAGGTCATGGAAGGTGTCAGCCACTTTGCCAGGTATATAGGATTTAGTTGATTACAGGTGTTTTAACCACTCAGCCAGGTATATAGGATAGAGTTCAAAGAGGGAGTCAGTCACTTTGCCAGGTGTATAGGACAGAGTTGATTGCAGGTGTTAGTCACTGTGCCAGGTGCAAGGTATATCGAACTGGGCTGATTACAGGTGATAATCACTGCAAGGTATATCGAACTGGGTTGATTACAGGTGTGAGTCGGACGTGACACATCGATCCTTCCCTCATTCATTCTGCAGGAAAACACAGGACATTTACAGTCTATATACACAATGTTGAACTGCATATATACATTTGTACTCTTTCGAAAGTAGGGGACACTCGGAAATATATTGAATTGTGAAACTTGTCAGAAATGTTACTTTCCATTTATAGCTGTATAACATTGAACGAATTATTCACAGTGAAGTTGACGCATGACAGAAGATGTTGTGACCGTCAACGACCTTGAAGGACAATGGGGATAGATGTGAAAGTTGACGTTTTCAGGATCAGTCGTGAATTCTACCAATACGTTCATTCCCTTTACGAGTCTCAACAAGGGCGATTTGTCGGGGTCTGTAAGACGCATTGCAGTGTTTGGCCAAGTTCCGACAACGCCTTCGCCGTTGACGTCCAGGTCGCCCTTCATGTACCAGACGAGGTCAATGAGGACAATGGGGATGTAGGTCACGATGACATGCTATGGGCGTTGACGTCCAGGTCGCCCTTCATGTACCAGACGAGGTCAATGAGGACAATGGGGCTGTAGGTCACGATGACATGCTATGGACGTTGACGCCCAGGTCGCCCTTCATGTACCAGACGAGGTCAATGAGGAGGATAGCGCTGTAGGTCACGATGACATGCTATGGACGTTGCGCTGCGGAAGGTTTGCAGTGGCGACTTGAGCAAGGTGAATTCCAACGATGTTATCCCAAAGACAAACCGTCGCCACGCCTCTTTACACGTGACAACAAGCATTTAAAGAGGTTACCCCGTCAATACTCCGCTGTGACCCTAATTTGCAACAACTGGAGTCAGGCATAGCGACTCCATTCATTTTGTCAAACCTGTCATTTGGTTGACGTTGCGTCAGGATAACGTTGGCTTGACGTTCCTTTCGACTTCGTCAATTACCACCACAGCTATCAAGTGCAATGTGAATTATGACTCGGCCTAGTGCACCACTAACGTTCTCTTGGCAATATGGCGATTTATATGGAACTACAGAACCCGTGGCGCTGTTGCATATCTGACCCGTTACCAGTACGCCATTATCCTGATGAACGTTTGTAGACATTTCACCGTTTCAGCTGGATTTCGTAGATTCTGGGTTCGAATCAAGTGATCCAGTAGTTGACCTACGACGTCCTGAACGGTGTCAAACGTCAACAAGGGTTTACTGGTACCTAATCCTTCGTCTGTTTATCACAGGCATGGGACACACTGTCCAATAAAAACATGAGTTTTTACATCGTAGGGTGTTTCGCGTTAACACATTTCGTTGTTTACTTTTCAGTAATTACATTCTTGCCATGGTCCCCTACGTGTTTCAAAGAGCATACATGATTACAGAGACGGACAATGTTGCTACACCCGTAAAACAAACAGTTTGTTTATGATTCGTTACAAGAATATTTAACACTTTCAAACAGAATAAAGTCAGCGTTAGCGGTTATAGAGCTGGAGAAGAACGGAGGTTACTGTGATGAAGCCGACGACGGAGGAGGAGGAAGCGACGTTGACGCTGGATGAGGGAGCCACGCGGCTGTAACGCTGTCGTACGGGGGACCTGGAAACATCAGTGAGTGAGTGAGTGAGTTGGTGGCTGGGTGACCGAGTGAGTGAGTGAGTGAGAAAGTTGGTGGGATGGTGACCGAGAGAGTGAATGAGTGAGAAAGTTGATGGGTTGGTGAGAGTGAGTGAGTGAGCGAGTGAGTTTGTGGGTTGGTGGGAGTGAGTGAGTGAGTGAGGCAGCGAGCGAGCGAGCGAGTAAGGTCTCGCGCTGCTGTTAACATCATGAGGGGGAACATCAAACGGTCTACCCATGTGAGGACTCGAACCCGGGACTTTGGCGGGAGGAGTGAATGCTTTAACCATCGCCCCATCAGTCATTGTTTGGTTGCTAACAACATGAGCATGAGCATCGATCTACGCAACTGGGATACGATGACATGTGTCAACCAAGTCAGCGAGCCTGACCATCCGATCCCGTTAGTCGCCTCTTACGACAAGCATGGGTAAGCAAACAGAAAAAGAAACGTGTAAATGAGTCACAGTTAAACGAGCACAGATAAATCCCCTACTAGGCACCATGGAGAGATCAGGTCATTGTCACACAGCAGATGTCGCAGGTGGATGACGTCACACGCCATCTACTGCATGATGTCAATGCAATGTATATATTAAAACAATATTGTTTCACCTTGTTCTGAAATGGGGGACCTCCTCGTCTGGAGCCGTTGCTGTGTCAGAGACGACGTTGTCCCAGGTGGCGCCGTTGTCGTAGCTCACCTCCAAGTTCTGGTTGGGGTACTCTGTGTTGACCTTCCACCTACGGCCTTGACCCCTGAAACAAACTCCGTTTACATGACTTCATCTCAGTTTTCATCTTTGAAACTATAATTCTTAGTCCATTACATGGGGTGCTGCTATACAAGTTGTAAAACTGCATAAATCTTTGAAATGAAACTTCCATAACTTGTTAACATACCTAGCGCCTGGTAGCGGAAGTCGATATGCAACGCCAAGCCTGTCAAGGAACGGTAACTCTTTGTACCCAAGAGTGTTAGCAAAACGACTCCAATCCTGAACACGTGACGTGTTTCTAGCCGTGACGTCACTGACGTTCTCCCACTTGGCCCGGTGCCACGCTCTCTCCGCCACAGCCAGAAGTCTGGGGTACAGAAGCCCTTCCTGCTGGTCCACTGTCCGCGTCATCTCGCTGAACATCTGGGCTTGAATACCTGGAAAAATAAACTCCATCATCCCCTATTTTCTTCATGTCTCACACACCCTCCCCACGTTGCTGTTGACACTAGGTAAGTAGATAGGTCATATAAAGTGGCCTCAGATAGCTCGTCTTCGACTCTCGCTCGAGATTTTGCGAGAATGTCGAAAACGTCCGTTGACAAGAGTTACAAACCCTGTAAAAAAAACTCCTTACAGCGGAGCTCTGTATTATTACGTCTGTTGTAAGGTCACTGTGCATCAATGCTCAACGTGAAAAGTTCTGACACATTATGTCCACTCACAACAGCATCTGAAGATCAACACCTTTTTTCTGACTTGACACTTGTTGGTGTGCGTCAGACGCCTCATATATGTGTCTTTTAACACTGTCTTACAGTAGACGCATTCAAAGGTGCCATCATACTGTCTTGCTCCACTAAAGTATACCGGCAAACCACCTTCACAACGTCGGCATTGCCATTCAGGACGGGTGACCGTTGCTGATGCCTTTGGCGAGTTTTCCGGTGATGCCTTTGGTGACGCCTTTGATGGCTGCATCGGGAAAAGTTCAGCCTCCCAGTCTTCTGGATCGGCGAAACAAACTCCTGACGATGCTTTAGATGTCGTCGATGGGTCAGTAGATATATCCCATAATTCAAGATCCCAATTCTCAGCTGAATCGGGGAACAAGACGTCTTGGCTTTTCTGCATTCTGTGCGGCTGTCTGTTGTAAGACACCTAGCTTCTATCACAACTTGGTTATATAGAGAAGACTTAGTGACGTCAGGGGTACCTTATTTTTCATAGGTACTGACTTCGCCCGCCCCTCCCCTCCCCTCACCCAATCCCTACAGGATATTGCCTTAAAAGGTTATGGTACATAGCTTAACATGTGTCATGAAATTCTTTTAGAATATGAAATAATTAAGTAGCTTCCATCGCTCGAACTGACAAAGTTAGCGAAGCCAAATTTAACTGATTCAATTTAACTTAGTTGCACTTAGCAATAGCAATAAATAGTTTTGTTTTTTGTTTTGTTTAATATTCCTTTATCTTCCATTATTTACAGATACACGTCCACCGTACAGCAGCTACTACTACTACTACTACTACTACTACCACCACTACCGCTGCTACGACGCTACGACGACGACTACTACTACTACTACTACTACTATTGGTAGACCCACTACAAAAAAAAAGAGACTGTTCCCCACATGGGCACAATGTGTCAAAAACCATTTCGGGTGTCTCCCGACGTGATGTTGTTGGAATATTGTTAAACGCGTGGTAAATCCCAACTCACTCACTCACTGTATTGGTGTTCATGTTTGCTTATTAGACAATGGTTAATTCTGCGTAGGTTCGCAGCTATTATAGACTTATAAACTTGTGGAGGGATTTTTAACTACTGTACTACGTGAGAATACTTTGTTGTTTGTGTGAATTATAGAGTGTGCGTATTTGAAACATAATATTCCACTTACTGTTTTGAACTGTTATGTATACAATGTAGGAAGTATGAATGCACACTGGGTTGATGTGTACACCACTAAACTATGATTATGTGTCGTGTGCACAATCTACTTTGGTTACTTATTCGATTGTTAATATCTTCTAATAATTAATTGTAAGCTTTAGCATATTATTTTTTGATTATCTACACAGATCATTCTGTGATTGTTGTGTAATAAACTCCTTGTCTATTTTTACTATTGTGTCGTGTGGCTTTTGCTATATAGTCAGACCTCCTGCCAAGCCAGTTGGTTCTCCAACTCGCATTTGTAATATGTTTGCTCTCACAAAATTGAGAGTGATTATGCGTACTATATTAAATGTAGTAATACTCTAAAGCATACACTATTTCCCATTAGAGTGACATAATTTTCAATACATCTTATCTCCAGATGTACGACATCAATTTACTAGTCTACCATATTTCTTCTTTGCGACGTGATGGGAAAATTTACAGAACCATGCACGTGATGTTCTTTTAGGAAATGCGATAGGGCCCTTGACACAAGCCATAAGCCTTATGTGTTCTTATTCAGTATGTGGGTCAGACATTCCTCTGCACAATCACAACATCTGTCGACAATACAGTCAAACCGCATTAATCCCAACATCTGAAGTAATGTTCAACCCACCGGCCGACAGATTTAAGCAAAAACAAAATACATCTATCAGATTTCCACTTCTTTTATTACACAGAAGAGCTAGCTAACTCTACATCACTTTCGGCGATTTTTTCACTGGAGCGGAGTTTGTCCTGCCTCAGGACCTGAAATGAAACATTAAATGCATTCGTTGTGAATCACAGTTAAGGGAAGACAATTCGTGCCGACACGTACAAGCACCTTTTTATTCATGAGAAAATCTTTCAACTCACAATAGAATTACACGACGGTTCTAGTTTAATTACGACTGGAAAACAATCTATAATTTCATTATGTTTCTATTAGAGCTTGTTACAAATATACATATACATATACACCTTTAGTTACAATACAAAATAAGGAAAAAACACTAAATCCATCAAATACACCTATATGTAATGTCTTTTCAATGGAGAAAAACTTGACATATTATCCATAACGGAACCGTGTTGATGATATCCCGGACCGATAGGTGCAACTGTCAGTAGAATATGAGTGTGTGAGGGAATGAGTTTAGTTTCACACCGCACTCAGCAATATTCCAGCAATATGCTCACGGTCTTTGAATAACTAAGTGTGGACCCTACATTCGAGTGATCAATAGCATGAGCATCGATCTACCCAAATGGGAATCGATAACATGTGTCAACCACGTCAGCGAGCCCCTCCGTCACAAGCACAGCAGGATCTGATAAAATACATATTTAAACGCTATGGACATAAGGTGCAAACGGTAGACAGGTGGAAAGGATTGAAGCAGACATTCAGTTTCAAACTCACCTACTGCTGACTTTGACAGTCCGATTCCTTCTCTGTTTCATCCTCTTCCCCCATGTCATCTTCAACACAGCAGAAGAACTTGATTTTGTTAAAGAGGCGGTTGTTCTTGGACCGATTTTGTCCGGCGAAGATCATATGGGTTGCATTCCCAAGGGCCTCTGTGTACTGGGTGTTGAGGAGGATATCATATTCGCTTGGTAGTGCTTCTTTTTTCACACTAGGGCTGAGCAGAACTTTCCACACATCTTCATCATGGATCTTAATGGATTCATAAGAGATGATCTCGAGCAACAGGTTCTTGGGTAGGTCACTCACTTTACATCTAGTTGTATTTTGACGCATAATTCCATCTGCGTCAAGGGTTTTCATCAGTTCGTCTCTGGAAACACTGGTGACTGTGGGTTTAAAACGTTTCGTGTTGTCTGTCTTACCAGCAACTTCGGAAAGACGCTTGAAAGAATCGGTCATGGTTGTTGGAGATACTTATTGGAGTAACTTCCAAAGAGTGTAGTTATGCGCTAGAGATAGTGCAAATATAACACGTTGAATGTTTAGAGCTTTCTTTTATACCGTTTTTCGTTGTGCGTCACTAATAGATAAAAAAGTGTTGTTCATGTGGTCACGATGTCGAGGACACATCCATGTTCACACAATGGATGACGTCAGAGAACATATTCGGTTGACCTAAAATTTTTTTTCGTTTTACTCTGGTCGTGACGAACGCGACTTGATTTTAGGGTTAGGAAGGAGATACCCCAGACTGCTTCCCAACAGACTTGTCCATAGGTTTGAATCGAGCCAAAGATAAGTTGACAATGCAAGTAATCACAACGATATAGATGATAAAGATTTGAGAAAAAAATACAGTTTCCGTCTTTGCTACTCTTTTGGCAAATAGTCTCCAGGGGCTCTACAGATCTAGTCCTTTCGATAGGTTGTGCCTCAACGGTGTCTTCCATTCTTGTGAAACCATAATCCCATAGTTTGTAGCTTTATTAATTTAAAACTACATGGTGACAAACATCTACTTTTAAAAAGAAACAAACCATGGAATTAACTATTAAATGCTTTTGAAAACTTCTTGTTGTATGCATAGTTACGGTTTTTGGTTTTATTTGTTTTGCTCAAAATAATTAAGAAACCAGTTCTATCTATTTGTATTCAATGTCTATAACTTAATACATGTACAGCTCATGTTCCTTCAACGTTTGTTTTTCCCCAGCCTCAAGACATGAAACGAAGTGATATCACATCTCCTCCCCATCCCCACCCTCCTTCAACGATAAACAATAAACATTTCTAGTAGCATATAATCTTATATGGAAAACATACTACTGCAACCGTGTCTTTCTCGTGAAAATGGTTCTATTTTTAACTGTTGGAACACGACAGATTTAACAGCTGACATTCCAATTGAGGGTGACTGATGGAATCTAGACCCCGCGAGACAAATCGCCGAAACGTAGTAGGACTTCCATATACGGGCATTCGTTACTATGCACCGATTCTGCTTCCTCAAGGCTCCGTTAATGAATTGCAGTTGGTGCAGCGTGATTACAGAATGCCCTTTGACCTTCTGACCAGTGATACCTTGCACACCTGTGAGCGTTCAGTTCATGAGTTGGAAACAGTTCCCCCTCCCCGCGAGACTAATTGCGGAAAACGTAGTAGGACTTCCATATACGGGCATTCGTTACTATGCACCGATTCTGCTTCCTCAAGGCTCCGTTAATGAATTGCAATTGGTGCAGCGTGATTACAGAACGCCCTTTGACCTTTCTGACCAGTGATACCGTGCACACCTGTGAGCGTTCAGCTCATGAGTTGGAAACAGTTCCCCTCCCCGCGAGACAAAATCGCTGAAAACGTAGTAGGACTTCCATATACGGACATTCGTTACTATGCACCGATTCTGCTGACCAGTGATACCGTGCACACCTGTGAGCGTTCCGTTCATGAGTTGGAAACAGTTCCCCTCCTGCGAGACTAGTAGGACTTCCATATACGGGCATTCGTTACTATGCACCGATTCTGCTTCCTCAAGGCTCCGTTAATGAATTGCAATTGGTGCAGC